AAATATCAAAGTGGCTTAGTCTCAATGATTTGTGTAATCAGTATACAAAAATATTTTTCATTATATTCATTATATTAAAAAAAATCAAATAAAAGTAAATAAAAATATTTTAATTCATTCTACTTAATAAATCAAGTCATCTACTTCAGAAGTAAATATAATTGCATGTTGGCTAATCAAAGAAAATAAAAAACATTATATTGTGCAAATACTTTATTGTTACATTAAAAGAAACAATCTTTAATATGATTCTGTTACAATCTATGCAATATTTAAAAATAGTCCCTCTTCAAACAATAAAAATGAATGCTTTTAAATGAAGTTATACAAATAAGAGAAAATTGTGACAGCTATGCAGTACTCATGTTTTCCGATATAAATATTTTTTATATTTATCAACTATAACTCAAATATTTTTCCTAATAAAAAATGCCACTCACTTTCAAAGCTTATGTCTTGAAAGCCTAAACTTCCCCATCAAGTTGCAAGTCTCTAGGAGTACATAAACAACAGAAGACAGACAAGCATAGAAAAGTCCTAACCCTCAACTGAAGCTAGTCAGCAGTATGCACTTACCAAAATACATCCTATGACACTAAGTGGTGTGTGGGCTCAGCACAGAAGACAGCAGAAAGGAAGAATTATACATTGTGACATCAGTGACTACATTTTATTTTTAGATTATTACAGTACAGATCTGAACATTCTTAGCTAGGGATCACTCCAGCATGTGGTAATGCATTTGGTTTGAATTAGCTATGCTTGTGGTAAAGCCTCGCTGCAGATCTCACATAAAATACCATCTTCTAGAAGGGCTGCTTCTATTCTCACGCAAGTTGTGCATGCAAAACATAAAGTATCTCTGGGCCATATACATCTTACTTCTAAGGACAACATCCAGAAAGAATTCCTCCTAGTTTACATGGTATGAAGAGAGATGAGTTTGAATGTAGTATCTTCAGAATAATTTCCTACTCTTTGGATCCACTCACTACAAGCAGTTTACAAACTGTATTTTTCAATTTTATTTTCTCTAACCTTAAATGAGTTTCAAGTTGTGAAAACTTGAATAACACTGTGCTTCATTTCAATCAAAATAACTTTGCAAGAGTATTACCAATAAACCTAATTTTCCTCTACTAGACAGCAATGCCTTCTCGTGTGGCTTTTTTTTTTTCCCCCAAATCCAATCTGAGGACTTCTAAAACAAATACAATGAGAACTAGAGAACTATTAAAAGGTGACAGAGTTGAGTACATAACCCTGTCAGATGTGGGGATCGAAATGGCTCACAGCATAAATGCTTTACAAACATTGCTTGAGTGCACCTGAGCTGAACTGTGACAGAGGATAGCTGCAGTTGGAAATGAGAACCTTATATTGATTTTTGCAGCTCATGTTTATGTTTTGGTTTTATTAGGATTTTTTTTTTTTTTTATAATCCAGTGCACATAACTAACCAATTTTACTCATTCTGAAGAAATCTTGAATCTCGGTGACAAGTCTTCGAGTGACAGAATGACTAAATTATATGCTGGTTATAGCATGATGCTTATTCCTGTCCTACCCAGGTGGAGCTGTTCTTTACACTATGTGATTCAGCCATCAAATAGCAGCATGCGTGTTTGAAAGGCCAAGAGGAGGCTGTATTGAGAACCTGTCAAAAACAAATGTGCAAACCTCTATGCAGCAGTCAGTAAATGTTCCTTGAATCACTCTTTTGTTAAAAAAAAAAAAAAAAAAAAAAAAGTGAAACAAATCCTTGTTTCTGTATGATATCTGTAACACAAAGATCTGTAACACAAAGCTTTAGTTAAACAGCTTTCCTTTCTGCCTTGTGTCTTCATTTCTACAAGACAGATCTTCAGCTGAAGGATGCCTATTAAGATGAAGATATTTATCAAATGTATAAACTGTGAAGTGAATTAATCTACCCAGGAATGTGGGACTATCTAAAAAAAAAAAAGCCACGCCATGAAGCTTGCTTTCATTTGAATGTATTGTGATACCTTTAAAAACATTAAACTTCATTACTGACCACCACCCCTAGCTGAAAAACAGAAATAATCAGAAACTTTTGTATTTACAGTCTACATGTTTGTAGTACAGCACTTCACTTTAAAACAATACCAGGCAAGTAATCACTCTGTCTAGAAACATAGAAGGAAGAAAATGTATTTTCCTGTCTACATATATGCTTTACAGTAGAGATCAAGACTAAAAGGTGTTTATATTCAAAGGAAAATAAATAAATAAATTAGACATGAATCAGAATCCTCCTGAGGACCAACATGTTTTGGATGCCAAAATGAATTTAAGTTATAATACTTGGTGCAACTTAATAGGTTGCACTTGCATACAGCATACCAACAGTGATTGCACCTATATGGTACACAGGCATATGAACAGAGAAAAAAGAGCAATAACAGCTCCATTTATACACAAAAAAGTAATAATTTCAAGATGCTAGGAATAAGTAAGTCAAAAAAAAAAACAAAAAAAACCCTATTCTCAGAAAATTGCATGCCATTGTAGACATTATAGATCTTGCTGTGTTTGAGTTACCAGAAACTGCATGGAATGTTTTCATGCTCTCAGTCTTTAGTGTTTATTTGGAATAGGATTCATAAGACAATGCGTATAACCCATTACTCAGAAGAAAAAAAAAAAAAAAAGTCCTGCATATCCACATAGGTATTACCTACACAGAGGTCTATATAGATGCTATTAATTGGTGCAATATCAAATACATGTTTTGTAAGTAAAATGAAATGTAAGGTTCATTAGACATATGAAATCAGTTCACTGCTACAAAGCCAAGTTGTGCTTTCATCCAGGAATTAAAATTAATGGAAGTAATTCATTATTTTCTTATGGTGGCAGAAAACAAGTTTATTTCTTTAGTGCTAACAAAAGATGTATACTTCTAATAATTAATAACGTTAATTTGTGTCCCATTGGGTGTGAACTATTGCCTTTCCATTTATAGGAGATATTTAAGGTGGCAGCTACATTTATGTTTCAGGAAGAGAATATACCAGAGATTTCCATTTGGGTCGAACAGAGTTTTGCTTTCTAATCACCTACTTCTAAAAATATGCATGTATACCCCTAAGATTAATAATAATTTAAAAGCAAAAGTCAGTCTAGAATTTGCTCTCAACACTGATCAATCATGATTAAAGAGCTTTTTTTTTTTTTTTTTTTTTTTAGTGGCAATGGCTTGTTTTTAAATACAAACCATCTGAGCGTGTGATTGCATTCATGCCATCATTTCGCTCACAAATCCTATACATGAATAAATAAATAAATAAATAAATAAAACCATCGTTTAAACGTCCACATCCGCCGCTGCTCCGCTCCCTGTACTACCAAGGCTTTAAAGGTTTAGACCGCCGCACCCGAGGACCTGAGGTGCACCGCGGCGCTCCTTCGCACCTCAGCCTGCCTTTGGCGGCGCCTGGACCCCCCCAGGCCGCTCTTCCCCGCTCCCCCCGCTCCCCGCTCCCGGCCGCCAAACTTCCCTCCGCGCCTCGCGTTCTGCCCGCTCCTGGCACCGCATCGAGGGGGACGGGGACGGGGACGGGGACGGGGACGGGGACGGGGACGGGGACGGGGACGGCGGCAGCAGCAGCGGGCGCGGGCCCACACCGCCACCTCCTGGCCGCGCCCCGCCACGGCCGCGCAAACTTCCTCTCCCCACGCGGAGAGCCGAAAGCGGCCAAGTTTCCCCGGCGGGGGGGTAGTGCGGGGGGGAGGTCGAGTTGCTGGTTCCCCCTGGCCCCCCGCGCCGCCTGCCGGGCGTCCGAAAGGGCCGCGGGGCCGCCCCCGCTCGGCGGGGCGCGGGGGGTGGCGACGGCCTTTCCTCAGGGAGGGGGCGCAGCCCTGGCGCCTCCCGCCGCCAGCCCCCGCCTCGCCCGCCCCCGCCCCAGCTTTGCAGAGAAGCCGATTTACTGTCGGTCGAGGTGGGGGTGTGCTTTTTTTTTCTGCTGCTTTTTTTTTTCCTTTTTTTTTTTTTTTTTCCCCCTCCCTCCCTCCCCCCCCCCACCCTCCGCCGCTGCCGCTCCGCGCATACTGGTGCTGGCTCTCCCCAGTGCCAGTCCCCGCTCCATCACGTGCGGGAACCCATGCCCATCACAAAAGCGGGCATTTTACCCGAGCCCGGAAAAGGAACGAAAGAAAGGGAAAAAAAAAAAAAAAAAGAAAAAAAGAAAAAAAAAAAAAAACAGAATAGCTAAACCAAAAGCGGGTGCACAGCTTAATCCAAGAGCCAAGATTTCCTCTGAACAGCCACCTCCCTCGTTCTCTCCCCCCCCTCCCCTCCCCCGCCATCCTCCCCCGTCCCCTTTTTCTTTTTTGTGGCTGTGGTGGCAGCGAGGGAAGTGGTTAACCAAAACCCGACGTGTTGGTTTTGTATTTCCCTGAAAACCACAGGCGCACACAGAGCATGAGGTACTGCTCCAGCCCCTCTCCGCGCTTGCAGAAAACTGTGGCTTCGCTCTTTCTCTCCCTCTCTCTCTCTCTCTCTGTACTGCAGATATTTTTCCCTCCTCTCCTCCACACTCTTCTGTTTATTCGGCTGTAAGGCAGAGCTACTTTGTAAACATCTCACACAGAACCCCAGAGCCTTTCCAAATAGCTGATTGCAGCAAAATGTCTCCAAACAAATTATGGTGCAAGGGGGCTATGGGGGTCGAGACCAAAGCAGATAAAAAATAAATACATTTGCATATATACACATATGTGACATCGAGATCATGTATGATGGTGGAGATGGCAGAAAGTATTGCTTTATAATGATGGGAAAAGTAAAACCACAGACGACTGCAGCAAACTGCTCGCCCTTTGCCAGAGTACCAACTGCAACACCTCTCCCCCACCCCCGCCGGGAAAAAAAAAAAAAAAAAAAAAAAAAAAAAAAAAGGAAAAAAAGGCAACTGAAAAAAATGAAAAAAAAAAAAATGAAATGAACACGCAAACGGTAAACCCAGTACTCCTACCTTAACACTGGAATAGCTGCAGAAGCATAATGGTCTTTTTAACACAGCCAGATTCTTTCAGGAAATCCTCTCAGGGTATCATGATGCAGCCGGGATTATTCACACAAGATTCCTGCTCTCCTTTTTGGAATCCAACGCGATTTGCTTCTCCAAAGGAATGCAACGACCACGAAGGGGATAAAAATTAAAAATAACAATAGGAAAAACAACAACACTGGATCTGAAAGAAACTCGTGTTCTCACTTGTCAGCAACCTACATTCAGGCAGAAAATTCATTACAATCAGTGCAAGAGAGAGAGTTGGGTCTGCGAGTAGGAGCTGTGATTGCCTATGCAGAGAGACCGAGCCGGGGAGAGACTGATCTGCAAGGCAAGGCAAGCTGGGAGAGGGGGAGAGAGGTCCAGGCTGTACCAGGCGCTCTCCTCCTGCTATTGGACCAAACTGAATGAAATTTACAAAGCCGGCAGCCAATAGCTCTCCGTAGTCTCCCCATCACTACAGAAACCGTATCTCCATCCACAGCCTCTCGCAAAGAGCATCGCATCCCGGTTTGAAGCATCAGTGGCAGGGCTGGCCAGGGCCTGGGGGGCTGAACAGGTGGGCACCTTGCACACAGAGAAATAAACATGTGTTTTGGTATGTGTGTGTGCCGGGGGAGGGGGAGGGGAGGTGCTCACACAGCTTGGACTGTTACTCTTCCTGCTTCACAATAACCAAGACTGCAAGTGCAGTCTTGGTTAACCCTTCAAGACAGCAGTTTCTCCAGTGTCAGCCTGTTGTTACCAAATTCACCCGTAGGCTGTTACACTGAGCTAACAGTTTAACTGTATATCAGTCGTCAAAGTGTTCTAGTTTTGTTCCCTTTCCTCCTATATAAAAACAAGAGAGTAGACATTGCTCAGTTGTGATTTTTTCTTGTTTTGTTTTTTATTTTGTTTTTGTTTACATAAGGAGATTAGTTTAATGTCCTATTTTAGTCAGCTAACCATTGTTGTGAAGGTCAAGCATAAAGGCTGAAGAAAGGGCTCCATGGTTATTGCTCTGCACTGCCAAGTACAGAGTCACTTCCTGTGTACAATTTCAGACTAAGGCTGGTGTAGCAAAGATGTGCTCAGGCCTCCAACAGATATGCCTTATTTCCCTCCTCAGCATGTTCCTTTGAACATTTTAGTAACAGTTAACATTACTGGAGTGTAGGACCCTGAACTGAAACCAGGCATGGATTAGCTGAGTTCTCCAATGAGGAAAAAATAAAAATAAAATAAAAATAGAAATAAAAATAAAAATAAAAATAAAAATAAAAATAAAAATAAAAATGTCTTGAAAATATTTTAATCATTTGAAATAAAAATCATTCTTCAATAAAAAAAATGATATTCATGCCTTGATGAGATTTGCTGTCACAAGAGTTAGATTAGACTTCATACGATGTGTTCTTGACATTTTAAAATGCTGAAATAACAAAATAAAAACAGCATCTCTACTGTTGTAGATGCTTTGTTTCTACCACCACATCATATCCCCAGAACAGAACAAATATTGCCTTATTTTCTCAAATCTGAGTTCTGTCTGTGATATTGGACTTATCAATCATCTCCATGCTTTCCTGTTTCAAGCAGTAGAGGAATGCATTCTATCTGAAAGATAGTATTCATACTTTAAAGATACAACCTACAGACAAAATAGGCCTGTTATGTGTCTATTCTTATATAACGTCTTCTTATATTGTATGAAGGGTCGTATCAGGATCACTTCACTATCAATAAGGAAGGGATAGTTTGTACTTGAATGTTGTAAATCTAATAAGTAGTGTAATGAATTGACTTAAAACCTTTTAAGCAATCCAATCATTACATTAAACTGTTAACTTATTTGCCAGTGGAAAAAAAAAATAATATATTACTTAATTATATGTTTTGCCTTACTTAAGTAACTCTAGCAGCAGGTGTTCATGCAAGTGAATTTTACTGCTTTTGTTATTTTAATAATGCACCCAGAATGTGCAACCAATCATATTGCTTGACTGAGTGAACATTTTGACACATTTAGAAAAGATGTCATCTTGCACTGCCATCTGTACCAAATTTTGCAGGACAGTCTTTATTTTGATGAGTATGTCATGCTTTTTACAAGATAAATTTGGAGGATATTAACGTATGCACTAGTTAATTTGACTAATGATCTCCCACCTGTATTGAAATGTCAGAGAACAATTTATTACAAGTTACTAAAGAATTATCTCTTATGTTTGTATCTTTTTCTTGCATCTATGCAAGACAAATGTTTGCATCTATGTCTTAATTATGCACAAAAACAGCAATAAAATTAAAGTTTCCACAGACTCTAGCTAAGTATATGATGAAAGGTTTTAAGTAAAAAACATTTGTTCAGAACATTGGAACACAATTTTATCCTTTTTACAACTTTCCAAAAGCTAAAGGTGTAATTGGAAATTCTAGTTTATTTGGGAGGGTATCTGCAACCATCCCCTGCATATTTATAACACCAAGCAGGAGTCCAGGAGCAATTGTTAGGAGAGAAGAATACCACTTGCTAAGTAATACAATTGCTTCTTACAAGGAAACATTGTATTCTAGTGTTAACCCAACTTGACTCTACCTCTGATGTGTTCCATCCCAAGAAACCTCTTTTCGTGTCAGTCAAACTGAGGCATTGTTTGGTCTCCCACATCCAATCACTACAAAATTTCCATAAGGAAGGAAAGGAAAAGGGAAAGGAAAGGAAAGGAAAGGAAAGGAAAGGAAAGGAAAGGAAAGGAAAGGGAAAGGAAAGGAAAGGAAAGGAAGGAAAGAAAGGAAAGGCAAGGAAAGAAAGGAAAGGAAAGGAAAGGAAAGGAAAGGAAAGGAAGGAAAGGAAAGGAAGGAAAGGAAAGGAAAGGAAAGGAAAGGAAAGGAAAGGAAAGGAAAGGAAAGGAAAGGAAAGGAAAGGAAAGGAAAGGAAAGGAAAGGAAAGGAAAGGAAAAAGAGACAAGGAGTCCCTCTTAGATTCTGTTTGCTTGGCTAGCTTCTCATTCCAAACAATTCATATTCATAATACAAACTTCAAGCAGAAGAGTTGCTTCAACAGCAATTGACTCTTTACCAGTCCCTGTTGTCTGTTTGGTCGTCTTACTCAAATATTCATATTGTCCATTCCCTTTTATGCAAAGGTAAGAGTGGGTGGTCCTGATACATAAATCAGGATGGAATGAGATCTTTAACTTGCTTCCTGGTGCAAAAGGCTCATCTAGGTGGATTGAAATCCACAACAAATTTTCTATTCAGGTAACCTACACTGGATTCACCTCTACACTGAATAACCTTACTTGGTAGATACAGTGATGATAATAAGTAACAAATGTTGTTCTTCATAAGATTTCAAGTAAATGAGAACTGCAGAATGATTTCATGTTAAACTACAGAGCAGAACAAAATTAAAAGAAAGTAGAATGAGTCCATCAAGACCACCAAGTAAACTGGAGAACAAACCAGAGACAACTTTGAAATTAACGTTCAAAAAATTAAGATTTGGGGTACATAGTAAGTGTAAATAGAAAGTCCCAAATTGCTCTTTACTAAATAATGAGAAATAAGTGTTTCCTATTTGAATTATCTTGTTACATTTTGGCAATAAAAGAAGAAGTTGATCTGTATTTTCAGAGAAAATTGCACAGATTAACAAAAATAACATCCAGAAAATCATATATGTATTTTCAAATTCAGATTTTTTCATTTATATCAAAATGAAATACTTGCTGTGTTGTTGATTATTCTACAATATACTGAAGATATAGCATAGCTATATCTTCATATTGCTATGCATAGCAATTTGATAACTTCATTGTAGTGTACTGTCACACTGACACTGAACCAGAAACTGATTCCAGTCCTGCATATCCTCTCTTTTCATTCATGATCATTTAAAACAAGGTACTTTTTTTTATCTGAAACTATAAATAATTAAGGAATCTTTCTCCTGATCAATATCTGATAAGACCACAATAACAGTATTTCTACAGTGTAGTATCTTTAATCTTCAAAATATCCTTCACACATGAACAAATTTATTATTATGCTAATTTAATGTTTATTTTCATTTTGCATGTTTAGAAACATAAAAAAGGACTATATGGGTTATTTCTGTGAATTATAGTCTGAACTGTTGAAAATTTGCTCTGTCTATTCATTTTGCCCACAAACCACAGCATCTCAGTAGTTTAGCTCAAGGCCTATGGTGGTCACAGCAAAAAGACCATCTGTGTCCTGGGATACAGCAAGCACAGTATTGCTAGATGGTCAAGGGAAGTGATTGTCCCACCCTACTCTGTGCTGGTGTGACCTCACTTTGAGTACTGTGTGCAGTTTCATGTACCACAGTATAAGAGGGACATAAAACTATTAAAGAATGTCCAAAGGAGGGCAACAAAGATGGTGACAGGTGTAGATGTATGAAGAGCAGCTGAAGTCATTTGGTTTGTTCAGCCTAGAGAAGAAGAGTCTGAGAGGAGACCTCATGTCAGCCTTCAGCTTCCTCACAAGAGAAGCGGAGTGGCAGGCACTGATCTCTTCTCTCTGGTAACCAGAAAAATGACCTAAAAGAATGATAGGAAACTGCACAAGGGAGTTCAGGTTGAATATTAGGAGAAGGTTATTCACTGAGAGGATGGTCGGGCACTGCAACGGGCTCCCCAGGGAAGTGTTCATGACACTGAGCCTGCTGAAGTTCAAGAAGCATTTGTACAACTCTCCCAGACACAGGGTATGATTTTTTTGTGATCCTGTGTGGAGTCAGGAGTTGGACTTTTTAGTCCTTATGGGTTCCTTACAGCTCAGAATATTCTATGATTTTGTGATATTTATAATGACAATGAATGAAGGCAATCCCTATGCACATTCACAGTCTATGTTCCTGCTGCCGTTTAGATCTCAATCTTTGGAGGACAGAGCCTTGCCTCTTCTGTATTAAGCACTATACAGTCACAGTACAACCAGGTTCTTTGGGTGGTCTGGATAAATAATATTTTAAAAGTTCCTACCACAGGCAAACAGACAAAATTATGTCTTCTTCATTAATAAACTCTCTGTGCAACACATTTTTTAAAGGCTTGTATGGTTAAATTTTGATTCAGATTAATACTTTTAGGGGAATTCCATGTAGCGTTGACATAAATACCCGTAGAAATCTTGATCTGGTCTTGACAGATATGGCCTATTACTTTCACTGATATGATAGGTTGACCTAACCAAAGGCTAATTACCCACCCCTGCTTCATTTCTGTTTTAGATTAGATACAGACATTAAATGCACTGGAGTCAGACTTTACAAGGTCTGTCTAACCTGTCTAGTTTTAAAGTGATACACAGACTGATAAATTATTGATATTATAAAGAA